TGCCCACAACTATGTTTTAATTAAATTCCAGTTTTTAATTTTGTTTAACGTCAAATATGTGATATAGTTTCCTGTTTATTTTGGCTGCTTACTCTCAAAATATAGTTATCGTTGAACATGTTAAATGTATTATTATATTTTTATATGTATTTTAAAACTGTCAGTTTTATATCAAAAGCAAACTGCACCTACATTATTTTGATTTTTGTATCCTTACAGAATAAGAGTGAAATTAATATTATGCACCCGAGTGGCCGATTCAAACAATATACATTAAAATCTAGTTTAACGTATTTGGAAAATGTAGTTTTGTATTAGTTATTTTAATTATTAAACATAGAAGTATATGTTACTACAAATATATTTTTTTAATAGATAAAGTAAAATTTGGTAAATGTGGGGGTTAATGTGGGGGTAGTACTGTCACTCCATGTTAACTTCAATGCAATTCAATATTAAATATATACTTATATTATAATTATGTATAAATAAGTTAAAATAACAGCCATGAGCCATCAAGAATTTACAAGTTCTATAAAATATTTAAGTTACTATACATTTCATCATAGGTAAATTATTATTGAAATAGTACCTACTATTATTGTTGTTGTATTTGTATAGAATGGTCAGTATACTACTGTTGTAGTGTCAGCATAAGCATACCGCACTCAGGGATAATGTAGCATTCTAATGATGAAAACATTTTTGAAATCGGTCCAGCCATTCTTGAGTTATAAATGGTCTGACATTATTTTGAACTCTCTTTTATATAATATATAGATTTAAGGAGTGTCTAGTGGAGATACAAACTTCTGTTTTTAAATGAGAAGCCTTTTCTACTGAACATCATCTATAGGATAATTTTTCTAGAAATGTTGACGTATCAAAATCAAAATTCCTACGAGTAGTTAGGTATAAATACTCAGCTATTTAACATTGTGTACTAAAGATAATAGATCAATGGTAATGATTTCGGAGGATATAAAGTCCATGGTATAAATTTATAACTTTAGTAATTAATTATAAAAAAAAATATATAATCTATAAACATTAATAATTTGTAAAAATTATCCAATTATAATAAATACTAGATCTAGTATTATATAAAAGTATGTTAATAATGTTTAAGGACTATTATCCTTAGTGTAAACATTTTAATAAATGATGAACTAATCGTTAACATTTTCAATTAAGTAGGTACCTAACTCATTTAAAAAAAAAAAAAATCATCATTTTAATAATTTACAGTAAAAAAGGATGTTTTTTGTTTGAAACACAGAAGTTTGGATAACCACAGGACACTCCATATTAAAAAAAAAACTCAAGAATGAAAATATGGTGTTTGAGTATATTTAAAAATTCCAAAAATCAGAATTTGAATAAATTCATTATTAAAGGAAAACAAAGTGTGAGCATGCGCAGTAAATCATCCTGTAAAATATAAATATAATATGATAGAGGTGTCTTATATGCTATCTACACAATACTTTTTATTTTTATTTTTAACAAGATATATACAATATGTACCCTTAGGCACAATAAGAATATGTGATAAAATATTTTGTACATGAAAACGTGAGGGAAGAAGCCAACCAGTGAAGGCACTACCTATAATTGTTTATTTATATATATATATTTTTTTTAAATTATTTGGATTATTCATTTAGTAAATCACGACACCAATTTCTTTTTAGTCGTCGTGTGGGGTTGCCTGGAATTGTGCGAGAAGCTAAATTGGATATAAGGGGATTAGGATGATATGGAAGTCTGTTATGGAATCTTTTGTAATATGTTATTGCTTCAGCGTGAACTGTTTTTATGTTTAGATCTGTGTGCAGAGAGTAGTTGGAGACATATGGTGGGGCATTAGTGATTAATCTTAAAATTTTATTTTGAACGGTTTGGATTTTATTTACATTAGTTATTTTTGCACTGCCCCATAGTTGTAGGCCATAAGTCCACATGGGCTTGATTAATGATTTATATATAAGAAGTTTGGTGTTTAGTTTAGTGTGCTGTTAGATATTAGTGGTTTAACTGAGCGTAGTCGTTCGTTTAGGGCGAGTTTTTTAGTTTTGATATGAGGCCCCCAGGTCAGGTGACGGTCAAAGGTTAGGCCTAAGTACTTAACCGATTGGGATGATGGGTTTGTATGTTATTAAGAAAGACTTCTGGGCAGGGAATCTACACAATACTGAATACATTTTATGTACACATTTTAATACATGATGTCGTATGCTATTTACTCTGCTGTTGGATACGTATGATTTGATGGTCGTAATATGATCACCAGAGACACAAAACACTTCAGGATTGAAGACTGACAATTTTAAAGTTGAAAAATGTATTACATGTCTTAAAAAATGTTACCCCTTTCTGGTTTAACAAATTCACAAAAGTTTCGTCAGTGTAAATAATATCTCCATGATATCTATATATAAATCATCAATTTAACACAATAACAAATGACAAACACACATAAATACAATTATTATAACTTCATTATTATCGTTTAAATCACTTAAATTCTATGGTTGAATCGAAAAAATCTTAATACAATATTATTTTTATTTATTTAATTTCATATACATATAGATACTGGGTATATAAAAGTTCTAAAACAAATTAGGTATATACAAAATAACTCATATATTTTGTATAAATAATGAAATAAAATTATAATTATAATTCTTAATTTATCCTCCAAAATGGAGTGGCTTCAAAATGTATTTATAAATCATATAACAATACCTATAACTCACAAAATATTAAATAATAATACAATTATATGGCACTCACATGGACTTTAATGCCCATGGGGTTTTTTTCTGTGGTCATTATTTCCGATTACCACCTGTATGGGTTTTATTAGTCTTGTGGTCTGCTGATCAGTTACTCAGTTAAGTATATTTCTTGATATCTTCCAAGTGTGAATTGAGACATATTTGATAATTAATATTGATTAGGTACAAACAATCATAAAGAATTCTTAAAAGCCTGTTATGTCTGTCTTCATGTTTGACTGTTCAAAAAACTTATCACGACTTATTGTATATTATTCAAAATATGTCATTGCATGTTTGCATAATGCTCATATATTATGTACGATAGGTAGGTATAGATTTGTATAAAGACTTTTGTTATATAAACTAATATAGGCAAGCAGAACGGTGACAATTAATTTTAACAATTACCTAACACATTTTTAATTTCACAACAATAAAATATTTAAGTACAAGTGTTATCTGAAATTGTAAACTATGTATTTCTTATAAACGCGTAATTTATTTGCTAATTTTAACGATTTTATTTTTTCGTTTTGAAAAGATTTTGAATATTTTTTATTAAAAAATAAAAAAATATGTTTAATCGGTTTTTGAGATTTATAATTAATATAATACCTATTTTCTAAGTATTGATATTTGATAACTATCTATTTTCATCATGAATTATGTATTATTTATGTGATATTTAACTAAGTAAGCACCTAACTTAACTTTTAAAATAACTCTAATTTCAGATTACTATTTCAACTACCTACAGTATAATAGTACATTCAAATAATGTACCTAATATTAAATGAGGACGTAATATTTAAAAATACTGAAATATTAATAAACTTATCATCTTAAAAAAAAATCAAAAGAAAGGAATTGACTATTGATCGTTTATATTTATTTTGTAAAAATTGAATTAAACTATACCCATCATTATTAATATATTATATTATTGATGCTGTCTCTAAAAAGAAGTATCTACATTTTTACTATTGATTATTAAATAGGATATATTAATATACATTAATACCATAAAATGTGCAGTTTGTTTTGAACTTTAATGAGAACTATTTTTGACAATACAATTAAGATATTTTAATCAAAAATAAAATAAATAGAAATAAATATGTAGATTAGCAAATATTATTTATACATATATTATAGATTTATATTACAATAACATGTATTATGTATAGGAGATCATGGTATAGACAATTAACATAACATTTACAATTAATTAATATTCAGTCATTATAGTTATTACTTCGCTACTTACGTTTTTTTTACCAATTTATAATTATAAAATGTAATTCAATTACAATAATGAAATAATAAAACATAAATAGCTTGTAAAAGTTATTTCAAATTAAATCAAATTAATTTTTATATACCTATTCGTAGAAATAACTTTCAATAGTTATACCTATAATTAATTTTAAATTGAAATAATGACGTATTTTTTTATAAGTATTATTTTGCAAGCAGCAACAAATGATGGTTGTATAATAAATAGCTAATTGATTGATTTGATTAATAATTGGTAATTTTTTTAATAATAAATTGATTTAATTATTATATATTTTGTCTTATCACCATAAAAACAAAAAAAGGACACATTGAGTACAAATCTATTCTGTGCACGTTCTTTCAATTTTGATTTTTTTTTATATTTAGGTACAATAGAATAAAACTGAAAGTCTTATCAATAGATTTTTAAAAATATTGGTAAATCGACCAAACAAAAACAAATGAATATAGACAATTATAAATTGCAGGTGAGTAACGATGATGACTGGGTAATTTATATGGTTTTTATTACCTTAGTATTTTATTGTTTATTCACCGGATGTAATTTATTTTTATTAATACAAAATTTACTTGTTTATATTATATGAGATACGAACTATTTTGTCTCTATGGATCGTTTAAGAATATTTTGTGGAAACGTTGATACAATATTCAAAATGTACTATTTTATCAAATCATTGTGAAACATAAATCTAGATGTTGACGAGTATCAATAATATAGTCAATAGTCAAATATAAAAACTTAACATTTTAATTTATATGTACAGTAAAAATGGTAACAAAATTCGAGTACAGTATATTGTAGCAATATAATTTGTACATGGTAAGTATGCAAATGTGAAATGGCACAACTAAAATAATATGTAGTGGCATGTTGTCGAGCTCAAACATTCAGTCCTTGTCATCTGCGGCCCTTCAACCGTGGTAACGATTGTTATTGGAAAACCAATCTTGTTTGATCATGTCAGATGCTTTTTCGGCGATCATTATTGTCGGCGCGTTCGTATTACCACTGACGATTGTGGGCATTATCGAAGCGTCGACCACCCGCAAACCTTGCACTCCATACACGCGGAGTCTCGGGTCCACCACGGCCGTCGGGTCACTGGGTGGTCCCATCTTACACGTGCCCACTGGGTGGTAAATGGTCATGCTGAAGTGGCGGATGGAACATTCCCAGTATTGATCGGATCCGAACTCGAATCGCGCACATCCAGGTATGGGGACCCGATGAAGTCGTGAACGATACTGTCGGAAAGCTTTCCCCTGGCCAATCTGTGCGTAAAAAAAAAAAAAAATAGTTAAATCGAAAATTGATTATCGATTACCCCCCATACGTTGGACTTTTACATTGGTCCAGCACTCACTTTTACTGCCAACTTGACACCCTCCACAAGTGTCGCTATGTCTAGAGGATCGTCGAAGTAATTGGCGTCTATGTAAGGATAGGCCATCGGGTCTCTAGACCTTAGTCTAATATTTCCTCTAGATCTCGGTCTAAGCAAAAGGGGCATAATGGTCCATGCATCGTTCTTGGCAATCGGACGGAAAACCTTGTCATATATGGAATCTTGGACTCCCAGGATTTTTCGTACTTTAATGCCGTCGTCTGAAGCTATACTAGCTGGTGCCATATGGAATTGAATATCTGGGTATTCTGTGTCGTTGGCATATATGGTGGGGATGAATCCAAGTCCTTCAACACCGCCGAGAGTAGTCATCGGTCCATTTTCTCGTGTTAAATACTCCATTGTTACAGGAACTGGCTAAACATTGTATTTAGTATTATATTTTTGGTTTTGTTTAAGTACATTTCCTTTATACATTATAATATATAAGATATTCCAAAAATATACTAGAAAATAAGAAACAATTAAATAAAACCTTTATAGTGTTATATATTTGTTTAATTTTTAAATTTTATGTATAGGATAATTTTATTTTTGTAAATATTAACTATTAATTTGATTGAGTAAAAAATACTCTGCAAAATTTGATCAACAAATTAGAGAATAGAGGTGAATACTGCTCACTACTAAAATGCAAATGTTTATAAATAATAAAAAACAATTTTGGTTAAATTTTCAACAGATTCAAAATGTATTGTGTTAGAACTATGTTATTTAAATATTAAGTAATAATAATGTTGATAGACTGAAGAATTATTTTTTTTAAATATAGTTACAAATGTAGTTATTATACCCGGAATTTAATATCGATATCAAACTCAGTGAAATGCTCTTACTATATTCGAATGTATTCTAATACAAAATGTTGTGCATAAATCTAAATGACTCGTGGTTATAGGTAGGTGATTTGGATTAGGTCGGATTAAGTTACCTATTGGTTTGGATCCTGGACGCCTAAACTTTTACTATATATGTATAAGAATATAAATAATAAAAGATAAAAGATTGGTTTAAAAACACGAATTCACCAACACTTACCCTCAGTCGGTTTTGTACTATGGCCACGGGCTTGTCCACGATGAATGTAAGCCCGAACATTCCCACGTGGTCCTGTAAGTTGTCACCAACTCGCAGGTCCTGCAATACGGGAATTCCCAGTCTTTGCAAGTGTTCACGGGGACCGATCCCGGAAAGCATCAGCAGTTGGGCGCTGCCGATGCTGCCCGACGACAAGATCACTTCTCGTTTAGCGTGCACCAAATGCATCCGGCCATCCCTTAACAGTTGCACACCTGTAGCTCGCTTGGTGGTCGGGTTGATGATCACTTTGGTCACGTGCGCTTGCATTGCTACGTGTAAATTGGGCCTGAGCCTAGCTGGCCTGAGAAATGCCTTGGCGGTACTGCACCGCGTACCTCTCCGGATCGTTCCCTGTACAGGTTGGAAAATGGAAAATAAGAAAATAAATATTTTTTGTCATATAATGTTATATTTGCTTCGTTTTTGTAAAATATCGTTGTACATTAGGTATGATGTATTATATTTACGATCGTTTATTATTAGTCGATATTTAAATGTGTAAAATATGTATGTTGGTCACTTAACAATCGAATAGTTGATATTTTAATTTCAATATTTCAAATTATTGCAATAACTTTTTTTGACATTGCACATAAGTATTACAAATAATGTAATTTGAAATTACCTGTGCGACCATAAACCCGGTTTGGTATTTTCCGTTGATGTCTCTGTTCGGGTAACCCGTCACTTCCTGGCCGGCTTCTACAAATGATAACACTAATGGACTTTTCCACGGTGCTTCTTGTACAGTCAATAGACCACCCGCTCGGTGATACGGCGATCCAGGCCTGGCCAAGTATGGATTACGGTTGTCCTCCGATTTGGTGAAGTATTGCAGTATTTCACTATAGCCCCAACCTTCGTTGCCCATGTCACGCCATCCATCGTAATCGTGCCGGTTGCCTCTGACATATAACATATAATTCAGTACGCTTGACCCACCCAGTACCTTACCACGGGGCCAGTTGCATCGACCATTTTTTAAGCCCAAGCATGCCTTCCCTAGAATCAGATTTACAAGCTAATGGTAATAAAATATTCTCGTATTATTACAATTAGGTCTCAGTTCCTGCTGATGAATATTGAACAAAACATTAAATAATACGTAGGTTAGTTTTATAAATTTACATTTTACGTAATATTATCTTATAGATTCCAAGTTTGTTAGCCTTCGACCCTTCGTCGTTGTAAAATAATTTTTTCAATCGTTGCCTATCGTAACATAATTAGAACATACTAACAATTTTACACCGACCTATATTTATATATTTTTTTTTTATCAAATTGAATTCAAAGAAACTATTTATCAAACGGAAATATTGTCAAATGGATGGATTTTTGAGACTTACCCGTCGGCTCGGTTTTATACTGCCAGTCCAGACGAGACAATTGAAGGTAGGCCGCCAACGAGGGGACATCGGACAGTTCGTTTTCATCCGGACCGGCTTCTAATAGTAAAACACTCCAATGTCCGATCTGACGATTGTTGAGGAATTTAATAATAAAAATTAACGTTTGAAATAGAACCAAATTTCTAATGAATATATTATTATATTATATACCTCCGATAGCCTACTGGCGACGACAGCCCCTGCTGATCCTCCTCCAATCACGATGAAGTCGTACTCTGGTCTGAGTATTTTCTGGTTGAACGGTCGTGACTCTGGATCATAAATGTCATACCGGTAGTAGGCCATAGCGGCTATCAACACCGGTATCATCCATACGCTGGTCCCAACAATAGTCAGGCCAGCCTTTAAAGCTGATCCGGCCGCAATCAAGGCGAATATCATATCCGCTAAGTGTGGTCACAGTAGTGCCATTACTTGCAGCTATGGTTTCTAAAACCAATTGTTACAATGTTATTGTCGGATTGTAATTTATATACAGTTTTCTGGTGAGCGTACATTTGTAAGCACCAAATTAAAATAGACCGATATCTTACTACCGTCTACAGCTTTTAAATGTAGTACTTATGTTCTTATAGGTTTTAATGATTTTTTTCAAAGTCTAAGAATTATCCAGTATACTTCATTATACCTTAATAATCTTATCTTATCAAATAGTATCAACAACTTAAATGTACGATTATACATTGTAAAGTAAATAATAATTGATTTGTTTTTTAAATGCTTTTAGTTATTATTTAACCTAGGAACGTTTTGTCTAGGTATATATAGTAATTAAAATGATTTATAGGTTATATATTTCAAAAATTGAAATCAAATGAAAATAGATGGATGGAAATTTGAAAATAAAACATACAATTATTAATGTACTAATACGTTAGACAAATTTTAGTTAAATCCATACAGAACCATACCCTCAATGCTACAGAAATAATATACAGAAGAACAGGAAAATACATTAAACCGTCATATAGTTTTTAGTTTATTAACTAGTTCTATAAATTCCCCTAATTACATGGGGAAAACTATTTTCAACAATTTGAATAACGAAGTAAAAAGTCTAATAAAAAGTTTATGTGAAAGTCAATCCAATTATACCAATAATATAATTAGTATAATTAATAAAAAAGGCATTAAATAAAATAGTTAGTGATCTTGATGATAATGTGTGTATCAATAAAATCATAAAAAGTAAATATGTTTAAACATGATATCTTATAATATAGTAATATGTACCTATAATATGTAATGCTGATGTAAATTTTGGTTTCTAAAGTATTTTTATCATGTTATGTTTATTTAATTATATCATATTTTTATTGTATAAACTATAAGTATTTACTTTAAACGAATTATAATATCGTTGAACTCTATTACTATATAATATATTACTATTATTCATTTATTTTATTGTAATTATTTAATTGTAATTGTTTTGGCTGAATAAATAAATAAATAAATGTAAAATGTATGATGATTTGGTGGTGTTACATTAACAGCAATTAATATTAAACTGACATATTAAGTAATAAGTACCATGTAAGTTTTAATAATAAATACATGTTACAATAACCACACAGCGCAAAAACGATTTGCGATTGTGCAAATGTGTAATAAATCGACACTCGTTGGTGTTAAAATAACTACAAATTTCTATGTGTGTAGAAAACGTTGTAACAGTAACATTTAAATATTATATTTTATAATTTGTTATGTAAAATTTATAAGGTCAGTAAACCTACAAAATATTAATATATTATGATTTTAAATGTTTTTGAATATCATTACGGATTTTTAATGTACCTATTCATTTTTGTTCATATCATCATAAAACATTGTATTTTTGGACGGGGAAAAATGTTCGTTTTCTTTATAGTACCAAATAGCATCGTCGATCCAGTTTTCCATACTAGGCTAAGTCGGAATAATGAAAAACTATGTAATTGTGAAATTACCGTACCAAAAAATAAAACGATATTTGATCAAAAATAAAACAACAGTTTGCCGGGTGTTCGGAGTGCACATATACATACAATAATAATATTCACCGTTCACCCACCTGCTGCATTATATATGCCATTTAATAAATTACCATGTACGGTCTCGTAAAAGTTCAATACCTGAATTTTGGATTGTCGTCGGTGTAACAGTAGCAGTAAACGAATCCCTGGCGTGTCCGTCGATACACATTGTCCACACTGACCTAATGTACGTGTTTTTCTGCAGCGATTTGCCTTTACATAATGTCCAAACCTCCCTTCGGCACCTGCACAAATCACACGGATATTAGACCTACATTGTTTCGACGGTTTTCGTAATACGCCACATTATTCGGTTATTAGTCGTAGTCGTCGTCGACCGTTTACTACCTGCAGTATATAATATAATATTATGCTTAATACGATTTTCTGAAATTGCGTCACATAATATACGAATGACAATTGGAACGATAACGTTGTAATTTGATTCTATCGAGGTCACCTGGTTTTACAATATATAATATTTATATATATATATAAATATAATAAACGTGCAAGTTTTTCGAGGGGGAAACAAAATATATAATATAATAATGATGATGTAATCCAAGGATACACTTTCACCTGACCGGCAATCCGACTGACCCCTACAGGCGATATACTCGCGTATAGGTAACCAGTCTCATCGTCTGCCCACCGGCCACCGTTTGTTGTGTGTCCAATTATTACATAACTATTTATTATTATTATTATTATTATTGACTATATTCTCTTAAATCGTATGTTTACAATCGAGAGTAAGTTTCCTGTTTTACGAAAGTCACACGTCATCGCTGTCGTCGTCGCCGGTTCGGTGTTAAAGTTCACGACCATCACGGAATACCGTGTGCGCAATTTTATGATGATAATAATAATAGTAGGTAATAGTAAATAATAATAGTATTGATATTTCGTTACAAACGAATCGTGAGTGAGGTGGTTCGTCGGTCGTGAATAAATCGCTCACAAATACAGAATCCACCTCGCAGTATCGTCGGTAGCCGTACAATAATAATACAATATATAACGCGATATAATATTATATATTTTGCACTGTTAAATCTATTACTGAACTGGACAGCGGCTTTTCGAATGGACTGCGACGCGTATTGAGACGATATCGCATCAGATTTGCATAAATTACAATAATATATCAGTGAAAACGTCGAGTAGACTTATTATGTGATTTGTCCCTCCCACGAGTACGATAAAGCGTTTAGGTATCGAGTTGTGAACATTATGTAAATTGGAAAAAAAAACCGGCCATAATAATGATGCGGCAAATTCATTATTACGAAATCAAGAGTCGAACAGTTGTGTGTTCAGCGTGCTTATATTTGCTCAGTGAAACTGTTTACATAAAAAGGAAAAAAAGACAATAGCTAATAAGCGAAACAGTATCTTCGAATAGTACCTATGTACTATTGTATAAACGCATAATCAATGACCTAAACAAATTCTAAATAATTTTTTACCAGAAATCTTCTTTTCATTCTTTATTCTTCAGGTATTTGTTGGTGGTTGCAAATCGGAGCTAGGCCGTATAATATTTATGACAAAGTCAAAGGAATAACAGGAAAATAACTTTCTAGATCTTTCTAAATTGTGTTAAAATAATAAAAATTAAAAAAAAAAAAAATGTCTTACAACTAAAAACTAAAAAGTTCAGAAACTGTATTTTAATCTTCATTAAGAATCATTTGTAGGCTATTCTAATGAACGAATTGTCTTAAAAAATTGTCATATTTAGAGTATATTACTGTTTAAATTATTGTATGGAAAAATTTACATGAGTATCAAAAGAAAAACATGTTTTACATAATATCGACGCCTTAGTTCAAAACTCCAACAACTTAAAAAAATCATTATTCAGGAATAAAAATAAAAATAATATTTTATAATGTACCTATATTACTAAATATAACTATGATTTTTGTTTTTTGGATAGAAAGCCTCAATTTGGATTGCATTTATAACTACATAGTAGGTATATAGTTAAATTTTTTTTTAAAATTTAATTTACATAATATTTTATAGTGCTAAATATTTAAGTTTTAAAACGAAAAATCATATTTAAATTATAACTTTTCTGGGATGGTTGATTATAGGATAGGTATAACATAATGTAATACAATTTACTAACTTTATATGCTGCACTTCTTTATGGATTGAAAATTCAACATAAATTGTGATATTTAAAAACATTTTTGGATAACCCAAAATTTACTCAGAATGATTTTTCGAATACAATAATATATTATTGTTTTTGAAATTAAAGAAAATATCCACAAAAAATATTAATTTATTCTTTCAATACCTACATATTTGTTTGTATTAAAGTACTTATTGAAATGAATCTTTATTATAATCAGTATTATTCACTATAGAATAAGTATATTATACCAAAACAGTTTTGAAAGCATCTAAACCCATCGTGTATTGATGTATTAGTTGGAAAATGCATATCTACTAATTTCAATTGAATAAGAAATTCATAAAAAAAATCTATTCTATACTTAACAATGTAATCATGATATTTGGATTATAATAAGAATATATAGATACATTTTATATTATATAAACTCAAATATATTTATGAATTATGAATAATAGAATTAGGAGTACCTATACCTACCTACTTATTATAATTACTGCGCACGAAAAATATATTTTCACATATTATTTTCATTCATAACATTGCGATACGCTACAGTGCCAACCCATTTCTTTTCAGCAAATAGTTTAAAAAAAATCAACTATTTATTCAAATGAACTAACATCAAAAATAACAACAATAAATAAATACCTAGATTATGTACTAAAACATACGTAAAATGTAAGACGGACTGATTTTTATATTATTATTCAAGGTGGAGGCAATATTTACATCTACACTCTGAATTAATTTTCGTTGAGTATATTCAATATTGTTCAGTGTATTTAATTTTACTGGTTAGAAAACATGTTGTATAATGTTATCTGATTATAATTTGCAAATGTACAATGTACATAATACATATTACATATTATTATATAAATTAATTAGTAATTTCTTGTCAGATATAATATAGGTAATACTATAGTTTCAAGAAAAGTCAATATTATGTTGACTCAATAATTTGAGTGTGTGTTCAAGTTTAAAATAAAAATAAATAAGTTAAATATTTTTTTAAAAAAGTAACAAACGTATCTTCATCGATGAAAAAAATAAGGGGGTAGTCAATTTTTTCGAAAGATATTGCATAACGTCGTATATTATTTAACATCCTATAATGCTAGAGTGAATATAAACCTTTAATTAAGTGCTAATTTTTCAAAGAGAAAGAATAATAAGCTCATATAATTGTTAATATTTACGAAAAAAAA